GTATTTACGGTGATTGACCAAAAGATAAAAGAAAAAGAAGAAAATGAGGAAGAAACAACCGAGAATGAAGAAGAAGAAAGTGATGATGATGACAATGATCGTGGTATTGATGTACTGGATAGTGACAATGACGATGAGGAAAGTGTGGAAGCAGAGAATGAAGAGGACCGTGACTTCATTGATGATAATTCAGTGGATGATGATGATCACGACCCCGCCTTTTACAGAGCATTGGACCAGGAGCTTGGTGCCAGGTTCCCAAACGTGCAACTTGTTGATAACAAGAAAGAACGGAAACGACAGCACCCTCTAGTGAAACTGAAGGTATGTAGTCATAATATTATCGTAAACGATTATATTTTGTAATGAATGGTTTTGCATATACTATTTTAATAGTTACCGCTGTTGTATATTATGTTTAATAATATATCATATTATAATTTTTTAACGATTTCTGATAACACTTTTATTCAACGTTAACAGGTCAGACTTGAAGATTACTTGAAAGAGCTGCCTGTGGTTGGTTTCAACTCTGGAAAGTACGATTTGAATGCCACCAAGCAATTCCTTTTCCCTGTTTTAACAGAGATGGAACAAATCCAGTTTGCCATCAAACGGAACAACAACTGTATGTGCCTGAAGACAGAACATCTTCGTTTCCTTGACATAGTTAACTTTATAGCACCAGGGTTTAGTTATGACAAATTTCTCAAGGCCTACGATTGTCCACAAACCAAAGGTAATTATATTTTCTGTCTTAATCTTCATTGATTTTTTTATTTTCATTTTATCATGAGTTTTGCACTTTTTATTTATATTTTACTTATTTCATTCTATTTTCCACTTTTTTTATTGAGTATTTATACATGTTTGTGTTCACTCGTCATTCATATTGGTATTTTTTTTCAATTTATTTTTATATTTAGGACTGAGTTTATTCCGATTTTTTTTTTGTAAAATGATATATTTCTCACTCAATTTCTTTAACTTCTAAAACTATTTCTTTCATTTGCTATTTAGGTTTCTTCCCATACGAATGGATGGATTCCCTAGAGAAGCTTGAATGTACAGCACTACCGCCTCACGAAGCCTTCTACTCATCACTAACCAACTCTAATATTACAGCTGAAGAATATGCCTACTGCCAACAGGTCTGGGCTGACAATAACATGCAAACATTTCGTGACTTCTTGGTTTGGTATAACAACAGAGATGTGGTGCCCTTCTGCGATGCTTTGGACAAAATGTCAACCTTCTGGCGAGAAAAGAGAATCGATATGCTGCGACAAGGCATCTCCATTCCAGGAGTTACTCTAACCTACTTGTTTATGACACTGGAACCAGRCATCTTCTTCTCMCTATTTGATGAAAAGAACAAAGATCTTTACTATTCCTTCAAGAGTAACATGGTTGGTGGGCCAAGCATCATCTTTCACCGATACCACGAGGCTGGTCAAACCAAGATCCGTGAAAGAGAAATTAAAGAACAAGGAAAAGAACCGAAATTGTGTGAAAATGTGGTCGGCTACGATGCCAATGCCCTCTACCTGTGGGCGATAATGCAAGAAATGCCTACTGGAGCTAATGTGAGAAGAAGAGAGGAGAATGGATTTAAAAGAGAAAGTTCCGTCAAGTTGGCGACTGAGTGGCTAGAATGGGAATCTGAGAAGCGTCGTATTCCAATCCGTCATCAAGTGAATGATACAGAGAAAAGAATCGATAATCGAAGGTTGGCAGTAGACGGTTTCCATGGTCCAAGTCAAACAGTGTTTCAGTTTCACGGTAAGTGATCGTTCATTTCAGTCATTCGTTCATCTGTTTCATTT